GGGTCTCAGCGTCTCAGCTCTGGCTGCACATTAGAATCACCTAGGGAGAGGGAGATGCCTGGGCCTCATCCCAGACTAATTAAATCAGAATCTCTGGGGTAGAAGCTGGTTGTTTTTATTTAACCTCCCCAGATGATTCTAATGTACAATGTACAGCTAGGGCTAAGAGCTACCATTTTTGTGGACTTGACAGACAAGTAAACAGCTTGATTACAGCATAGTAGGATAAGGGGAGCAGTTAAAAGGGTCCCCCAACCTCGCTTGTCAGCATTCTCGCAGAGTTACACCAGTAACAACAGACAATGGTCACTTCAGCAACGAGCCAGGTGGAATTTACAATGGAGGATCTGCCAAGAATCCAGGAAAAACCCTGGTGTTGGGAGTGGGCAGGCAAAGCCCGGGGAGCGTTGGTTATACAAGTGACAGCATCCAAGAAAACGTCTGGGAACGACCATCGTGGGTTCTCTCTGCCACTGACGTGTCTCTCTCCTAAGATCTCCTGTCAGGAAGTGCCAGCAGGGCAATCCCCTGTTGATAATCCTCTGGGGTCTTAGAAGACTGGCCAGACCCAGCCTGGGCCTCCGATTCTGGCCGTGGGGGAAGGGACTGGAGCCCGGGAGATAAGACCCGCCTAGCAACTGTTGCTAAAGGCAAGTAGCCTTTGTTATCAAGCATTAGTAACACAATAGGAGGCTGAGCAACCAGGATAGTCCATCAACATCATCCCAGGCCCTGAATTAGCCCCACAAGCAAGAAGGGGGAGGTTGTGCGGCTCAGCAAAAGAATTCCCGTGCAGTCGGTTTTTAGTTGTTAATGTGCTGATGGCTCCCCGACTCTGGCTAATGGGGGGCATTAAGGCACAGACTCTCTATTGCAAGAGGCCTTTGTTCCAGGGTCAGAGCAGAACAAATGGTCAAATCCCATCCCCCTCAGCCTCTCCAGAATCCCAAATCCCAGCAGCCCTCCACCTTCGTGGGGGGTGGGGGGCTGGCCGAGCGGGACAAGAGGTAAGCAGCAAGGCGGGGTCCCCAAGTGGGATGCCCCGGAGCCCACTCCTCGGCGGGGTAAGAAGGAAAGAGCCCCGCCGGAAAAGGGGAGGGTTGGAACCAGAGACTACCGCGTTCCCTCCAGCTTCTCAGCATCTTCCCTAAATGCTTCCCCTCTGGGCTCGAGATGAAAGTCATAGCCCTCAAAGCGACCAAGACCCAAAGCCTCTGTGATTTCCCCCTGCCTCCTCTCCCCTCCGCCCCCTAAGGCGCCCAGGGCTCTGCCAGGATGGATGGGCTACCTCCCCCAGGCTCCACACTGAGAAAGCCGCCAGGATTGTGCAACAGGAAGTGGCCCCCAGCAGGGGCCGGCACCACTCTGGGTGAAGCATCAGCTCAGCCAGTCCTAGGGGCTGTCTTTCCCCTCCGGAAGGACGAGACTCGAAGCCGGATGCCCTGCTCCAGCAGCTCCTTTTGAGACTGATGAAGCATGGCTGCCTCAATGCTCATAAAATCCAGCACCCTGGTCTCTATCCAGTCCTTACCACCAATGTGATCTTGGTCGAGCTCTCTGACCTTCCCAAGCCTCAGTTTCCACGTTGGTAAAACGCAAGCTTGCTATGCAGCTCAAGTGCTTTGGAAAGGTCAAGGTGCAGAAGGCCCTCGCTCCAAGTGTGGTCTGGGTCAGACCATCTGCATTAGAATCACTGGGAGGAGGGGAAGAGGCTAGTTAATTTTGCAGCTTCCTGACCCTACCCAAGAGCACAGAATTAGAATCCTGGAAGGTGGGGCCCAAACACGAATTTTAAAGAGCACCTCCAGATTATTCATATGAATAGCCAAGTTTGAGGACCACCATCAACAAGCACGATTATCACTACTGGTGCCTCTCAGCAGTGTAGACGTGGTGGCAGTCTGAAATACCTCACAATCTGACATAAATAAAGAGGCAACAAATACCAGGTGCTGGAAATCCACATTACCAGGAGACAAAGGCGGAGATGTGGACTGTCACAGTCCCGGGTCGGGGGTGAAGGAGGGGTTGGCGGACCTACAAACCAGTTTCAGTGGAACCCAGAGAGGAAGACTGGCTTAGATGGGATGGAGCCCATGCTTGGCGAGAAAAGGATTTTCCAGGCCAAATCATGGGAATAGATTGTTCTGGGACGTGCAATTTCTTCCACCTCACATAGGCCAGGCCCAATGCCAGCTCATCTCTTTTAGAAATTCTTCTCTCTCTCTCTCTCTTTTTTTTTTTTTTTTTTTTTTTTTACGATTTTATTTGACAGACAGAGAGCACAAGCAGGGGGAACAGCAGAGGGAGAGGGAGAAGCAGGCCTCCCGCCGAGCAGAGAGCCCGATGTGGGGCTCGATCCCAGGACCCTGGGACCATGACCCGGGCCAAAGGCAGATGCTTAAGCAACTGAGCCACCCAGGCGCCCCTAGAAATTCTTCTCTTAATAGGTGGATGGACCCTCGCTTCCTGTAAAAGGATCATTTGTGTCCAGTCTTATCTACTCTGCTCACAAAACTGCTGAAAGCTCTACTGGGGGACAAAGGTCAGCCCCACTGCCCAAGAACTATACTCGGAGCTTTAACTACTAAACAAGCAGGCAGATCCTGAGGGAGATAGGCACCCTTAGCTGAGAGCCAACTCTTCAGGACGCTTCGGGACCCTCCAGGGCTGGCCTTGAGCTAACCTCAAGGAGGGTATTAACATATCTAAGGGGAAAGGTGGGTCGGTCCAGAGAGTTGAGCCTTGAGTAAGTTTGGTCTCAGATGGAGGGAAAGGGAGCCCTGACCCACAAACTGGAATTACTGGTTCTTGGGACAGGTGTATCCTTCATCAGAGGGTGGGTCATTGAACACTTGAGATCAAACTGGGGGCAGTAAAATCAGTTTAGGAATCCCAACAAGAACTGAAAAATTTTTTAGAATGCAAAAATATCACAATCTCTGTACATTGTGTTGTTTCATAAAATGTTTCATAGATACATATGGATACATGTGGAAACATTGTCTTCAATAAAGGCAATTTATTGTAGCATTCCCCTCCCCACCCCCGCCCCGGGAAAGGGGATAATTTTCATCATATTTTCCAAAGATTAAGTACGCTGTTTCGGACTCTCTTAAATTCTCAGAGCCCAATGACAGGGCTTTTTAGGGCTCTGGCTCACCAACATCCTTCTAGCTATAACTTGGCTTCAGAAAAGGCTAAGATTTGCCTTCAAGGAGAGAGAACTTCCCAGTCAAGAAACGTAAGTGTCTGGTCTAATAGTTTTCTCCAAAAACCAGCATTCTGACTTTATATATATATATATATTTTTTTTTTTTAAGATTTTATTTATTTATTCATGAGAGACAGAGGGAGAGAGAGAGAAGCAGAGGGAGAAGCAGGCTCCCAAGGAGCAGGGAGCCCAATGCGGAACTCGATCCCAGGACCCCGGGACCATGACCTGAGCCAAAGGCAGATGCTTAACCATCTGAGCCACCCAGGCGCCCACATTCTGACTTTCTTATTTATACTTCTGTCTCTTATGAATTTGGTCAATATGTTTCGGTCCTCTGGAGTTCTATCACTTCTGAGTGTACAAAGAATAACATTTCTGAGCCTATAAAGACCATGGAATACGGTAATAAAGCCAAAATGATGCCACCCTGTGGGCCTTGCCACAAACTTGAAGGTCACTCACCAAGGCATTTGTATGCTCAACAAATATTTCAATGAATAAGCAGACTAGTTAGGATACAATATAGGGGAGGGCTCTACACAAAGGTCATGTTCTCCAAGCCACTTAAAATCTTTAACCAGCTCAAACTCTTTGTCAGCCCACCAAATGGAACATTCAGAAATCCTGCCCACTCCCACAACACCCAAATCCCTCCCACAAAACTTCAGGGAAGTTCTGTCCAACAGACATCCCAAAGGAATGGTCCAGGAGTATCTGATCACCTGGGGCTCTCTCCTCAATAAGGCGTCCCCTAACTGGGAGACCATCCTCACTTTCTCCTTCTATAATGGCTCCTCCTCAGCCCATTTTGTGAATTTTCTATCCTGTTTCTGTTTGCAGGGCCCCTTTCTTGGCCCGCTCCTCTTTTCAACTCACAGCTTCTGTGGGAACCTCATCCCTCTGACAGTTTTAGGGATTCGACATTCTGCAGACAGATGTCAAACATCTGTTCCCAGGCTAGAACTGTCCTCTGGGGGCTCCAAAGCCACGTATTCAACCACTTCCTAGACATCTTCGTAGGGCTGTCTCATAGACACCTCCAACTCTACAGGTTCAAAACCAAAATTTCTACTCTCCCTCCCCATCCTGCTCCTCCTCTTACTTCCCCATCTCCGTCAATGTCACCACCAGTCAACTCAACTCAAGTCCAACGCCAGCCAGTCACTGTAGAGTCCTCAACCCCACATGGCCAGTCAGGAAGACCTCTAGAGTCCTCCTTCAGCACACTGCACATCTCCTCCTCCTCGTTGCTCTTGTCCCCCTGGCCTTGTCATCTCACACCTGCTTTTCCCTGCTCTACCAGCCTCCGTCCCCACCTCACTCACTGGGCAACCCTCACACTGCGGTCCATTCTCCCCAGTGCTACCAGGGCGATCCATTCGCCAGAACCATCAGCTGTCCCAGGATTAAGAGCACAGTCTTGAGAGATTCTGGGAAGCTAAATTTTGATATGAAAGGAGACAGGTCAAGAAAGGTCCAGGCATGAGGCACTGCTCAGAGTCCAAGGCCAGGGAACCCTGAGCATCCAGGAGGCACGGTATATCCAGGAGGTGAGAAGTGGGGGTCATGAGAGAAGGGGGTACAGGTGGATGTTCAGTTTTGCGGGGACCAGCCAAGTGTAGTGCAGGTTCCCTTGCTCATGGGGGCCCCTGGAAAGACACATGTCCCATTTGGGATAAAAACAGCATCCAGTCCTATACCAGTACAAGGGTGGGAAGCCTGTGAGGACCTACAGGGTGAGATCTGAAAGTCAAGCCAGAGCAGAGGAAAGAGGTGGGCTCACCGGGAACAGCATGGCTCTGAGCTCCAGGTAGAGCACATTGTCCTGGTAGAACTCCTCCAGGGCCTGGAAGACATAGTCTCTGAACACTGGTGCATAGTGGACAAGGCCAGAGATTGTGAAGAAGATCGTTTGAAACTTGGACCAGACGATATTTTGGTTTGCATAATCCACGTCGGGGTTCTCAGTCATCAGAGTGAAATTCTTTAGCAGTCTGTCCAGGACACAAAGGGGGTAAATTGAGGAGGTGTGTCTCAAGCCATCACCTTCAGGTGCCTGCAGGATTCCTGCCCACCTTGCTTCTCCTGCCAGAAGCAAACCCAGATGCATCATAGTGAACAATGATGAGAAGCCAGGGGAAGCACACTGGGTTCTCTGGTGGAGGCCCCTCCATGAGACCCACTTTGTGCTCCTCAGGACCCAGCTCAGGTGGGATGTTCCCACCAGCCAGGCTCTCCTACTCCCCTCCATATGCTTAGCCAGTCTGGCCCCATTGTACTTACATCCTAGACCAAGCTCTCTTCGGGGGCGTTATGCACCAAACCGTATCCCCCTAAAATCCGTATGTTGAAGTCCTCACCCTCAATATGACTACATTTGGAGATAGGGCCTTTCTGGTGGTAATTAAGGTTAAATGAGGTCATAAGGGTGGGGCCCACATAGAATAGGACTGGTGTCAGGGACACCAGGAGCGCACACACACAGAGGAAAGGCCATGTGAGGACAGGCAGCAGTCTGTAAGCCAAGGACAGAGGCCTCAGGAGAGACCAAACTTGACAGGATCTTGATCTTGAACGTCTAGCTTCCAAACCGGTGAGAAAATAAATTTCTATTGTTTAAGCCACCTGGTCTGTAGTATTCTGTTATGGCAGCCCCAGCAAGCTAAAACAGGAGGTATGATGGAAATACGGGGACTACATGACCCAGGCTTTGCCCCTGAGTAGCCACATACTAGCTGTGTGGCCTTGGTCAGCTTCCTTAACCATGCTGAGCTTCACGTTTCTTATTCGTAAAGGGCAGTAAGCTCACAAAAGCACTCTATAGATGGTTCTATGATGAAAACAGTTATTACTTATAATATCACTTTACAAGTGTGTTAGGAAGTTGCTCTATCACATTTTCAAGGTGTTCCCTCACAAATGCACTGTCATTATTCCAGGAGCTGGGCTTTTCATCTTTCTGATATTAAGCATTTAGACAAATTTCATCTGATGCAACAACAGTGTTACTGTTAATACCTCTTACAGATCAAATTGGATTTTAAATGAACCAGGAACTTGCTATTTGAATGCTTCTGTGAAGCAAGTATCTTGTAAAGTTAAAAGAAAAAGCCTCCTGATTTTTTTTAAGGCCAGATTTGCATATACAGGTTTGCACCAAGGAAGACACACCCGCACACCACCCGCTACTTATGATGGGCCAGACACATTCTTTCCCAATCACACTCACCCGTTGTCAAACTCAGTGACGTTCTGAATCTCCTTTCGATACTTCTCCAGCAGAACCCACTCTGAACACTCTGCTGGCATTGGGGTGGGGGGTGTTGGATAAGCAAATTTGAACTTCAGGGCCCCCTTCGGGGTGATACAGAAGTGGCAGTGGGGCCTATAGGTGACATTCTTCACCAGCCAGTTCATGCTCAGGATGCCGAAGTCGTGGACGTGTAAGGCAGCCCCTGGAAAGGGACGAAGGACGGGGGCGAGAGTAAGGCAAAAGAGGTGAAGTCCACATTCCAAGGGCACAGGGGCCACGAGGACAGTAGCTGGACAAGAAGTGAGAAGCACAAGGATGTCTATCTGGTGGAGTTCCTTGGAAATGCCCATGACACACCATCCCCACTCTGGCACAAAGACCTTCCAGGCCTCTGTGTGCCTTTGTCTTCCCGGGCTGGCCCAAGCCTTCCCTGCTCTGGCGTAGGAAGGGAGCTTCACTCGCTAGTCAGAAGCATGGTGACCTCATTCAAGAGAGGCAGCCTGATGGGGCGGGGGAGCCTCAAGCTTGGATTCAGAAGACTGGGGTTCCAGGTGGGCTCCATCTCACCACCCAACACTGTGTGAAGGGTTGTAATAGGAAGGAGCCTCAGCCCCTGCCCCCAACCTGGTCCTGATCGTCTCAGCCTGCTCCCCGACGCCCGACACGCCGCCTTTGCATTCCCTGCTTCTGGCCCGCATCTAGGCAGCTTCCGGCCCGCAGGTTTGCCTTCCATGCCCCATGCTTCTTTCAGACCTGACACCAATTTCAACTACCGAGCTCCTCAAGGCACAGTATACACTGTCACTCTGCTCTTCTTGCTCCATCTTAGCTCCTGGCCTTGACACTGGCTGCTTAGGGGTCCCAGCTGTGTGAGCTTTGGCAGGTCACCCTGTCTAAACCTTATATTCTCCATCAAGTGGAGAGGTTACTTTACCAACTTGACAGTTTTTTTGTTTAGTCTGTTTATTTCTAACATTAAAATAAAAGAGGCATAGAAAAGTCCTTGGGGTGCCCGGATGGCTCAGCTGGTTAAGCGTCCAACTCTTGGTTTCAGCTCAGGTCATGATATCATGGGGTAGTGAGATGGAGCCCCACATTGGGCTCTGTGCTCAGCAGGGAGTCTGCTTGGGATTCTCTCCCTCTGCCCCTTCCCCACTCATACACATGTGTGTGTGCTCTCCCTTTCAAATAAACAAATAAAGATTCATTTATTTATTTGAGACAGAGAGAGAGAGCATGCACGCACAAGTGAGCGGGGGGTAGGCAGAGGGAGAGGGACAGGCAGACTCCCTGCTGAGCAGGGATCCCAGTGAGGTGATCGATCCCAGGACCCTGGGATCATGACCTGTGCTGAAGGCAGATGCTTAACGACTGAGCCACCCAGGCATAGCTAAACAAATCTTTAAAAAAAGAAAAGTCCTTGTAAGCTGCAAACTGCTATTTGCATGTGCAGGATTGTAATTATTTTATTATTCATAGAAATGTAAATATACTGGGGCGCCTGGGTGGCTCAGTGGATTAAGCGTCTGCCTTCAGCTCAGGTCATGATCCCAGGGTCCTGGGATCGAGCCCCACATCACGTTCCCTGCTTGATGGGCAGCCTGCTTCTTCCTCTCCACTGCTTGTGCTCTCTCATGCGCACAAATAAATAAAATCTTATTTTTCTCAAATAAATAAAATCTTAAAACAAACAGAAATGTAAATATACTATAGACATACCATACTAGAAATGCCCGTTCATACCATACCCTGTTGGGTACCTTAGCCACTGAGAAAGGGCAGAAGAGGCAGATGCGAGAAAAGATGTGAAGGGAGCAGTAGGTCCTATTGGGCCCACATACTCCCGTATGTGCGGATGCATCCGCTTCGTCAGGGAAGACGGTAATGCCCAGCCCCCACTCCCTCCTGTCTCTGAGGCAGAGACCCTCCCAAGCAGGGCTTTTGGTTTCCAGGGTAAACCAGCAGCCACTTTGGACCACGCCCTTCCCAGTTTGCCAAGGAAGAACAAAGGTGCAGAGTGGGGTTCTCGCCGCTCCATTTATTTATTTTTATTTTACTTATCATTATTTTTTAAAGTAGGCTCCACACGCAATGCGGGGCTTGAACTCACAACCCTGAGATCAAGAGTCACACGCTCTACGGGCTGAGCCAGCCGCGTGCTCCTCACAGCTCCCTTTAGAACAACAGCTCCAGTAACAATGCTAGCTCCAACTTTCGTTCCCCCTACCTGCCCAGCACCCCCAAACCACCCTCTCCAAGCCTCTACCTTTTGGCATCTTCTTCAGGAGATTAAACACCTCACTTTTCTCGATGAGATCCTTGGCCTGGAAGAAGTGCATGCTGGGAGGGAAATTCTGGCTCTTCATGGCCTGTGCCATCTCGGCCTTTTTGAGGGCCATGAGCCTCCCGTTGGCCAGCTCCTCCTGCTCGGTCAGCACCAGCTGCCCCCCCAGCTGCATCATCTTCTCTCTCATCAACAGCTGCACTCGTGCTTCATCTGTGGATACGGCTGAGCAGGAGAAAGGCATCGCTGCCACCAAAAGCAGGGAGAGCAGGGCTGGCCGCCCTGGCGGGCCACCCACGGACATTGGGATGCCTGGAAGAGGAAATTGCTCACATAGAAACCCAACAGGGCTAAAGAAGGGAGTAGGTTAGTGAAAATCTACAGATTTAAATGTTAAACTCTGATTTTCCTTCTCCCACTCTGTTCTCAGAATACCAGGAGGCAGCATACTGAAGGATTCTCCAAGGCCGCAGAGAAAAGACCTCCAGGTACAGACCGGAAGGGGTTTCCCAAAGAATAAGTTACCATGAGCCGTCCTCGAAAAAAGTGGAGTTTTTCAGTTAGGGAGCCCTGTTCACACATAGAGGAGGACACTGCAATCAGATTTTCAGTGTTTCACTTTTAAATATCGTCAGAGAGCAACAGATCACAAGGCATATAAAGCCTCCAACATGGTAAAGAAACTTAAGAAAAAAAACACAGAGAGAAGGAAACAAAGGGAAAGAGAGACAATGCAGGAAATAAAAGAAAAATTCAAAAAAGCCATACTTAATATCCTAAGAAGGATACGAAAAGATACTGTGTCCATAAAACAACTACAGGGAATTATAAAAATATATATAATTTTTTATATTTTGGCCGGCTGGCTCAGTCTGTAGAGCATGCAACTCTTGGTCTTGGGGCTGTGAGTTCAAGCCCCACATTGGGTGTAGAGATGACCTAAAAATTAAAAAAAAAATAGGGGCACCTGAGTGGCTCAGTCAGTTAAGCATCTGCCTTCAGCACAGGTCATGAGCCCAGGGTCCTGGGCTCATGCTCAGCGGGGCTCCCTGCTCAGAGGGGAGCCTGCTTCTCCCTCTCCCTCTGCTGCTCTGCCTGCTTGTGCTCTCACTCTCTCTCTCAAAAAATAAAAAAAATAAATTAAATAAATTAAAAAATAGAATGAGAAAGCGCTTTTAGAAATTAAAAATACATGGTGATGGGTATTAAAGAGGGCACGTTCTGCGTGGAGCACTGGGTGTCATACACAAACAATGAATCATGGAACACTACATCAAAAACTAATGATGTAGGGCGCCTGGGTTGCTCAGTTGGTTAAGCGACTGCCTTCGGCTCGGGTCATGATCCTGGAGTCCCGGGATCGAGTCCCACATCGGGCTTCCTGCTCAGTGGGGAGTCTGCTTCTCCCTCTGACCCTCTTCCCTCTTGTGCTCTCTATCTCTCATTCTCTCTCTCTCTCAAATAAATAAATAAAAAATCTTAAAAAAATACTAATGATGTAATGTATGGTGATTAACATAACAATAAAAATTTAAAGAAAAAAATACAAAAGCTGAGGGGCACCTGGGTGGCACAGTTGGTTGA